TCATTGCTCGTGTCTGGTGGGGACTTTGGGTGAGTAATGACGTCGGCGTATGCTAGGTGCCGATAGTCGTTCTCTAAAAGAAATGATCACTCTACACCGCCTGCGATGGCTTGGTTACGTATTGCTTATGCCTACCCATCGCCTACCCCTCCGTGCTTCTTTTGCACATGCTGGGCAAGGCTGGAAGAAACGACACCTGGGTCAGACCATGACAAGAAGTAGAGATATGAAGAAGCTAGCCCCAGCGTTGGTTTCGGTTGGTGGAACCCACCATCAAGGTTGGTGCCCAAGGGATGAGGGCTGTCGTTGGCCGCTTGTACGTTAGGGGTCACCTTAAATAAGCCACGGGGCGGCTACTTTGATTTAATGTAGCTAAGGTTCTATCAATCTCAGAACGAAATCATTCAACTGTATACAAAGAAGCCTACTCAATATTTGAAACCACTGGAAAGTTGGAACATCATCTGATGGGTGTCCAATTCAAACTTTACTGGCTAATTCTCTGTCGCCTTTATGTACGATATGAAACCCAGCAGTAAAATTAGGAACGACAAGTACAACATTTGTGTCTCGAGCTTTCTCAGTTTCTCTATGATATGATATAACATGCAGGTTGGTAGAATGCTGTCGCCACTTCTTTATCACTCAATCGATTAACTTAAGCAATTTTACGACAGTCTGTGCCAGTTTCAGTTCGGTCTGTCCCACCGCGGTATCATACGTTTGTACTATTTCTTGGCACAAAAACCTACTCTTTTCCCTAGATAATGTCAAGGAGATAAATTAACAATGTTCTGTTTGGGCAAGCCTTAAACTCAAGTTTAAAAGACCATGCGATAGTACACTTGTCAAGGCTACACAAACTTTTGAACTCATCACCATTGATTTCAAAGGACCGATTCCCTCTCACTCTAATCACTCCATTTTATCAATCATTGATGAGTATTCTTGTTTAGGTTTGCACTATCCTGTCCCGACATGACAGCTCGCAACATAAGTTCTCGTTTAAGTGAACTGCTTTTCATATTTGACAAG